GAGGACGCGGTGTCCATCCGCGGGGGCGGCACCGGCGGCCGCTACTGCGCAGTCCTGCCTGGCTCCGTGCGCTGCACGCGGCTGGTCCGGGTGCTCCGGCCCCCCACACTCTCCGCCGCACCCAGCGCTTCCCGGCGCGAGAAGGAAACCCAGGCTCACGGGAAAGCGCCCGTCCCGGCCGGCCACCGCCCGAGCCAGGAGCCGCACGCACGTCCGGACACCGGAGCCCACCCGCTGCCCGTGCTGGACCCAGGTGCTGCGCGCGCAGCCCCACGCCCACCGGGGGCTGCCTGCCCGCAGGGCCCCGGTCCACCGCCCTCCAGGACCCGGCGCAGGCGACGAACCAGAAGGGCCCGTCCCATCCCGGCCAGAGCCAGCGACCCAGACCCGCTCGCAGCCCCGAGGCAGCTGTCGGAGTTCCGCGTCTCTTCTGGAGACACGCCTGAGCCGCGCTCGCACAGGCAGTGTCTCAGGGTCCCGACCCCGCCCTCCGGACCGGGCGCTCCGTCCCCTCCCAGGACAAGGCAGGGGCTGCGGCCTGGGCATGCCAGAGCGTCACCAGCGCCACCCAGCAAGCTAAGGGCTGCGATGGGAAGGGGCTGCTTGGGGCTCCATCTTTCTGCTTCCCCCCAAGACCCCCGAGAAGGGGCGGCAGGGTGGGCCCCAGGTCTGCGGTCTGCCCTCTGCCCTCTGCCCTCTGCCCCTTCCTCAAACGGCAGCCCCACGTGAATCACGCAGACTCATCCTGTTCCCTGCGTTCGCTGTCAGCTGCCTCCTCCCTGGCCACGGCCGCCAGGCCCTGGGGAGCCAGGGAGCGGCACCCTCGGGAGGCCCTGTCGGAGGGCCGGAGGGGCCCTCGGCAGCGTGACTGGCTGGCCGCACCAGGGTCCAGACGCACATGGGGGTTCTCCTGCCTCACACCCCCAACTGTGTGGGACGGACGGACGGACGGCAGTGGGTTTCCGGCAGGGAGGGTGTGGCACAGGCTCCCTCCCCCGGAGGAAGGAGCTGGTCTCGTTTCACTGCCGCCCTGCTCTGCTCTCGAGAGCCCCCCGCCCCGGGCATGGAATCCACGCTCTCCGTGGGCCACCGTCTGACTGAACGTTCAAACTGTGTACCAAGCACCGACTGGCACGGGGCTCAGTTCCGTGGAGGAACTAAGGGCCTGGGGACTCAGGTTGTACTGGGGAGTGCGGGCCGCAGACACCCGAGGGAGGGAGAGATGGATACAAAACCCTGGAAGAGGATGGATGTGACCCAACGGTGACGCCTCCCGTGCCGACCCGGTGACTTTACAGACTTTTGTTTGGGCCAGGACTGGTCTCCCTGACTTTGACCGCTCCGTGTCTTGGGGCGGTTTTCCGGGGGGTCCCTTCCAGCATGCGGCCGGATCCAGGGGCAGACTTCCAGCCAGCAAACAAGCAGGTTCCCCAGGGACGTGAGAGACACGTAGCCGAACAGACGCAGGAGGGCCGGAGTCCGCCTCACTCACCTCTGGGGAAGGAGACCCTGGGCATGAGCTCCGTTCTGGCCCAGCGGGAGGGGTCCAGGGGGCGGGGGGCCCTGGGGCAACACTGCCCCAGGGGCAGCCCCCAAAGGCCCGGCTGGCTTCATTGTGCCTGCAAGGGAAGAAGGCAGAGTCAGCAGAGGACGCCGGTGCCGGGACGACCGGTGCTGAACGGCAGCGGGTGGGCGGGGCGAGCAGGGCGCGGTGGGGCCCTGTGGGTGGGGACCAGCCCGAGCAAGGGTTGTCCAGGTTGGCGGGGGTCAGACTGCAAAGTCCTGGGTGCCCTCTGGCCTTTGTCCTCCGGGCAAAGGGGGGGAGGTGCCAGCACTATCTGCAGACACAGCCGGCCACATGTCACAGTGATCAGAGATGACGAGAAGTCAGTACCAGAACTTCAACAGGAAGGGAAACCGGGCCGTGAGACAGAGCCAGACGTGCTTATGCCAAAAGAAAGCCCCCAAACCACGGGCCAAGGGTCACAGACTGGCCCCTCCCGCGGCCCCTGCACAGGGTCCTGAGCCGGACAGACGAAACCTGTGCTCCAGGCTCCCTGACAAACCAGGGTGCTCTGCTCTGCGGGGCCCCGCCGCTCCGGGCACCATCCGGTCGTCCTGGTGGGGCAGAGACAGGGCTCTGCGGCCGAGAGGCAGGGGCTGCTGTGGACCAGCCCTTTTGGGGGCACCCCACCCGGTTCCCAGGCCAGCTCCCTCCAAGACCCCCGTGGTGTCCTGCGGCCCATTGACAAGCCCCCCCTCAAGACTGGTCTCTGCCATCAGCAAACGTCACAAACAGCGGACCTTGCGTCTGGCCCTGCATCTGACGCGCTGAACCCAGAGTTCAAGCCCGTCTGTGAGAAAACGTGCATCTGGAACAAATGTACACGCTCGTGCAGACCGCTGTGTCCTGGGGTGGGGGGCATGGTGCAGGGTGCGTGCCTGCAGAAGCTCGCTCCGGGGAGGTCTCTGCCCCGCCCGGCCCCGCCTGGGCCCGGGACACCGAGGGCTCTGGCCTCTCAGCTTCCAGCCAGTGGTCCTCAGCCAGCGGCTCTGTCCCTCAAGGGATGTCCGGTAATATCTGGGGGTTGGGTTGCCACAGCTGGAGGCTGGGTGGAGGTCAAGCCCTGGTGCCCGCTGGGCAGGCGCGGGGGATGTGGTAAAATGTCCTACAACGCACGGCTGGGCCCCGCGGTGAAGAACTCAGTCCCAGCATCGGAGAGCCGAGGCCGGGCCACCGGCTCCTGAGGGCAGCCGGCCCTGCCCCTGCTGCCCCCGCCCCCCAGTGCGGAGGGCACCCTTCCCAGCTGAAGTGCTTGCTTCCCCGGCACCACTGCCCTCCCAGTAAACCCGGGACGGGGGCTTCAGGCAGCCCCACTTCCTCTCCCGGGGTCCCGTGCGGCTGCACTCGACGCCCGGCCACACTGCTCCCCCCGCCCCGAAGGTGCCCTGAAGGGCTGCCTCCCCCTCCCCCTCCCCACCCACAGGCTGCCCCCTGACCTGGCCAGCTCTCCCCTTCGGGTCACCCCCCGAGCCTGGCCCGGCGCCCCTGCCCTGGGCCGCCCCGCTGCCCCACACGGCCGCGGTCCGCCTGCCTGACTCGTGCCCCGCCGGTCGGTGTGGGGGCCGACACCGGGCGTCCTGCAGTCGCTGCTCCCCCGCCAGGAGCACACTGTCACCCGGGAACCTGCTCCACGGGGAGCCCTGAGCATGGGCAGTACCCGCAGGCCCCGGGCAGGTGCTCGTGCGCGCGGGAGAAGCCTCAGCAGGGGGCCGGCACCGCCAGGTCCTGCAGACCACGGCTGGGCTGCCGCGCCTGCCAGGCCAGCCACAGGGGCAGCGCCGGGGACCAGGAAAGAGGGTGTGCGTGGTGCCTGGCGGCGGAGAGACGGAAGGGTGTTGAGCACGGAGAAACAAAGGCTGGGCCCACTCAGCGACGGCGCAGCAGCGCACAGAGAGTCCGCGCGCAGAGTCTGAGGCCTGGCGTCCGCCTGGGAACGGAACGCAGAGCAGGAGCTGGGGCAGGAGGGTTTCTCCCGACAGAGGCCGCTTTGCACCCCGAGAGCGCCAGGTGCCCAGACACTCAGTTTCCCCAGCTGCAGCGTAGGGCCAAACATCCACCTCACAGCGTTGTAGGAACGTGAGATAAGATAAGGCACTAATATTGTCAACTCAACTTTGAGTTGATAACCTAAAAACTTTGGTGAGGTTTTTAGGACCAGCTTCGGTGCATGGTGGGCACCCGAGAAAGAGGAATTTGCATCATCATCATTGTACATAAAGCTGAGGGGGAGAGAGCCGGCAGAGGGAGAGGAACTTGAGAAAGACGGTAGCGGGTAGCGGCTCCTGAAGGACTCCGAGTGACAGCACCACGACTGGGGTGGGTGCACTGGTCCCGGGCCCAGTGAGGGCGCCGCATCCGGGGTTTTCGTTGAAATGAGAGGCGCACCGGCTGCTGGCGGGGGTGGGGGTGGGGCTTTCCAGAGGGACTCTGTCTCGGATCAGCATCCGCAGCAGCCCAGGTGTGCGGCCGCCCCCACAGGCCTCCGCCACTGGCACCCAGCACAGCCCGGACCCTCCACTCCGAGTCAGGCCTGTGCGCCCCCAGGGACACTGGCTGGTGCCCACACAGCGCACCCCCACCGAGGGCTGGGGCTGCGCTCCTCAGCGTTCTCCCAGAAGCCCCGGCAACTCAAAGATTTCCAGGGGATTTGGGGCCAGCGGGCCTGAAACAAGCCACCGCGAGCCTTGCTCCTGGTCTCCCTCTCACCTGGTCTCCTGGAGCGACCCCTGGACAAGGGGCGGCCTCCTGCTGTGACCCACCAGAGCAGTAGGGTCCCACTCCACTGCTCCCTCGCCCCCCACTCCTGCCCCGGAAGCCGCGACTCCCTGTGGGTGTCCTGTTTCAAAGCAGCCAGGACTGGTCAGCAGTCACTTCAAGGCAAGGCCGTGTCTGTCTACCTGGTCATTGTCACCGAGGAATCTCCAGGGGCTGATCTAGTGATATTTTCCCAGTGTCAAAACTGAGTCGATAATATTGTCACCAAACTCCCTTCAGCATACACACGAATTCTGTTTTCTATCAAGTGCTCACTGTAACATCTCACCACAGATTAAGAGCAAGAGCGACTCTAAAATAAAACACTCGGGAAGCCTCTTTGTTTAAACCGACACTCGACAACCCAATACATTGTATCTCACTCAGGAACCGGATTGCTGACGCAAACGTCTCCCCGGAAGCCTTTTCCAAGTGGCCCCACAACCTCACGCCACTGCCTCCGGCCACGGCCGTGCCACGCGCCCAAAGCCCCCCCAGCAGACCGCACGCCCCTGAGCCCGAAGGGCCGGCAACCGCACCCACGTTGGAAGAAGATCGGGCTTTACCTGGCGGAGCGCCTGCGGGAGCCGGGTCCCCGTAGTGGCCGTAGTGCGGCGGAGAAAGGCCCATCCCCGTCTGGGGCTGGGAGTAGGGCGGCGTCGCCACGTACCCTTGCTGGCTCATGGTGAAGATCGCATTCCAAGAGGGACTTCCACGAGAGAACCCTGGAACAGAAGAGAAACCGCCGTCAGCATCAGCGAGGGGAGCCCAGCCACCTGCTGCCTTTAGAGACGTCAGCACTGTTGATGGTTTCCGGTTTCCACGGCTGACGGGAGAGGCGCTGCCGTCCCGGCATCACCCCCTACAACGCTCCAGCCGTGGCCGCAAGGACCTGGGGACTCGCTCCCTCCGTCGGGGCCCAGCCTCAGGTCTGGAACCCACGCACCGGCCACCGTCTTGTCCGCTCAGATGGAGACGGCTCGGGGCAGCCTCTGGGCTGTGCGCGTGGGCTCCTTCTGCACCCGTGGGCTCCGTGGCCCCGTTTCAGCACAGACCGCGCCTCCGGCCACAATCGCGTGCCGGCCGGCTGACTGGCCAGCGGAATGCCCTCCATCTGCAGCCGGCTGTTTCGTAACCTGTGCTTTCGCAGTGCCTAACGAGCAGCTCCAACCAGGCGGTCAGGACGGGGAGCAATCAATAGTCCAACGAGCGTGGCCTCAGATAAAGAAGCTGCTGTGGCCCGTGAGTCACAAGAGGACTCAGCCAGGTGGCGGCCGACAAGCGTTTGGGAGTCGTCGGTGGTTTCTCAGGCAAAGACGAGAAACTTTCTGATTTAAGCGTCACATCTTTAAGGACATACATGCACGGATTTCAGGCACAGAGTCAGTTTCATATGTGTTCAGGCAGGCAAGCCGGCCCGCACACACGCAAACACCATAGCTCCATCTCGATTCTACTCAGAAACATCAACTTGTCAAAGCTTTCTGTTTCTCCAGGTTCAGAAAAGAAGAGGCGTTTCATAGAATTGACTATTCTTAAAAATCTTTACAAGTCAGAGAAAGTTTTGAACGCAGGCAAGAAACACGGGTTTTCCCTGCAAACCCGCGGACCCTCAGCCGGGGGCCTCGGAGTAAGCTGGACACCCTCTGGGCCTCAGCGCCCCTGTCCAGCTGCAAATCACCGATTCCACACTTTCCCTCCAGTTCCTTCGCCCACTAGGAATCGTCTCCCTTTTGCCATTTTCCGACAACACCTTGTAACGAAAACAATGGGCGATCCCTCCCGGGACTGGAACTAGCGCTACAGTCAGGAGATGGCATTCTTCCTTTGGTTTCACTTTCCCATTAAACTATCTTTCCAAAATTAAAGCACCCGAGTAAAAATATTACAAAACCACGTCCTTCTCCGCGGAGGGGAGGGGAGGGGAGGGGAGGGGCGGAGAGGACGCCGAGCCGCCGCGCGCGGGTCGCCCGCGGTCCCCGCCCGCGCAGAGGGCGACGTGGCAGCCGGCGCTCGGTCCGCGGCTCCGACTGCGCGCTTCGGCGAAGTCGGCAGGGGCAGCGCCCGCGGCCGCCTGTTGCCGGGCGACGCGGGGACCGGAGGGACAGCACGGCAGCGCGCGCGCAGGAAGCAGTCGGAGCCTCGGCGCGGCTCCGGAGGAATCTGCTTCCTCGCGCGGCCAGGGGCCGCCACGTCGAACTTCCTCGCACGGCCGAGTCCCGAAGCCTGAGTCAGCGGCCGCGGCGGCGTGGCGGGGCGCCACCGGGCCGGCGCGGGCGCAGCACCCAGCCCCGCGCCCCGCGCCCAGCACTCGGCACCCGGCCCGGGTGCAGCCAGGTGCACGCCCCAGCCCGGGCGCGTCCCTCCCTGCCAGCTGGCCCCGAAGCCGGCGGGCGTTTCTGCTGTGCACGTTCCCGACACCCCCCGCCCCCCAGACGCGGGGCCGGGGGTCCGGAGAGCGGAACCGCGCGCAGGGGCGCTGGGACCCCTGCGACAGCTCGGCGTCCCGGACCCGGGGCCGGGGCCGAGCCGGAGCGGGAAACGCCCACGCCCCCCTCCGGCCCGAGCCTACCCTGCCCAGGGGCCCGGCGGGGAGCGGCGCGGGGCGGAGGGTCCCCGCGCGCCCGCCCGCCCTCCAGGCCGCCCCCCGCGCGCCCGCTCCGGCTGCGCCCCCTCCAGCGGCGCCCACGTCCCGCCCGGACCTGCGTCACCCGCCGCGGCCCGGCTCTGCCCCTGGTGCCCGCGCCCGCCGCCCCGGCTCCCGCGACTCGCACCGCACCTCCGCGGGCGGCTGTCCCCACTGGCTGGCGGCGCGCGGACTTCAGCCCGGCTGGCAACTGCCACGTCAAAACTCCCGGCCGCGCTCCCGGCGCCGGGCGGCCCCCGGGGCCGCGCTCCCGCCCGCCCGCGCACGCGCGCAGACGCCCACGGGGCGGGGCCCGGGCGGAGTCTGGGGCGGGGCCTGGGGCCCGGGCGGAGTCTGGGGCGGGGCCTGGCGGGGCCGGGGCGGGGCCTGGCGGGGCCTGGGCGGGGCCCGGGCGGGGCGGCCTCCCGGCCCGCGGTGCTGCCAGCGCAGGTCCTCCCTGCTGGCTCCGCTCACCTTTCCTGTCCGTGTGGTTTGCTTGCTTCCGCCCAGCGGGGCAAAGCTCTTCAGGGCGGTTGCTAAATCCGCGCGACGGGCCCACGGCGGAGCCCGCGGGGAGGAGCGGTTGCGTACCGAGGGTTCATTCATTCTTTTCCTCCGCAGGTCGGTCCGCCCGCTCGTTCCGCGTCCCTGCAGCCCCCGGGACGGCGCCGGCGCTGCGCCGCCGGGGCAGGAGGGCGCGCGACTCCGGGCCCCCGAGAGATCCGGAGCGAGCCCGGCACGAGCGCGGAGGCGGAGGCGGAGGCCTGCAATGCACCGTGGAGGGGGCAGTCCGGCCGCGGGAAAACGGGTTGAGGGTGGGGGGACGGAGAGAGGTCCCAGCTGGAAAGTACGGGGCAGCTGTCTGCACCGAGGCTGGCACTGCTAGACTTCCGCGTGTTCCTCCGGCGGACGCCCACGCGCTCGCCGCCCGTGAAGCAGGAGGGCCGGCCCCACCCGCAGCAGGACTGCCGCGCGGACCACTCCCAGGGCTTAGCTCGCTGTGCTGCGATACAGCTGACGAGGAAGGGCCACCCCTACGAGACCTGGGACTGACAGCTCTCTAGCTTTTGGGGATCATCGGCCTGGTGCCTCCCTCCCTCCCTCCCCCCCCCCGTCACACACACACACACACACACAGCCCAGCGTTTAGTACAACTACCACTTGGATCAAACTTACAAAAGTGAAACCAGACCAATGTTGTTTTCAGAACATACTTTCTTTTTCTGGGCTGCAAGAAAACACAAGCCACTGGACAGACCCCCTCACTGATGAAATGCCTGGGTAAAAGCTTGCGTGCAGGCGAGACGGCCGCTGAACTGCTCCGTGGGCTTTGCGGGCATTCTGGGCTGTCCCGGCACGGTGAGGACCAGCGGTCCCCGGCCCACCCTCCCTTTGTCAGAGTCTAAGGTGTGGTGCCCGGCCTGCACCCAGCTTCTACACTGGTCAGGTTCGAAACCCCGCAGTGAAGGTCTTGTTGGCGATGCTATTCTAGACTCTCAATGTGATGGAGACATGTGAGGGTGTTCGGGGAGCTCTGGGCTGTGTTCATGCACCAGAGCCCGTGAGGACAACGAAAACCGTGGCCGCCTCTCAGCTACGTGACCACGCAGAGGAGCGGTCACTCGGAACTAAGGACAGCAGATGGGACCAGTCGGCGTCTCCTCCCTGTCAAGTCACCGGATTTGAGTTTGTGAATTCATTTCCGCCCCTTGCTTCGGGCCCCCGGGATGACGTGTGCTTTCAGAGGGGAGCCGTGAGTTCCTAAACGGGAAGGCTGGGAGACATTTCAGAGGTGTGCACGTTCAACTCCACCTCCAGTGAGGACTGAGCTCAGCCCAGGGGTTTCACAGACTGGGGCACCGAGGCTCAGAGAATGAAAGTGACCACTCTCAGCATCCGTTGGAGGAAATGCACCTTCTGGTTCTAACTCCAAAGGTCTTTTCGCCTCATACTTTTTTCCCTTTGATACTGCTGATTTGCTCTTTTCTCTTAACTGTCTCTGCCTTTTCCTCCCACAACTGCCTTACTGTCGAGATTTCAAATAACTACAATGTTCACTGATCACACGGTTCCCCCAGGGACTGGACCTACTAATCACAGGTCTCCTTTTTCTTACGACACGGACTTCTGGCTTCAATACGGCTTCCCTCTGGTGGCCCCAGTGCCCAACCCTCCAGTGACAGCCTTCTGACCTTACTCCTGTGGTCAGGTCGCTGGCCTTCACCGGACCCGAGGGGCAGCTGGGATTCCCAGCCTTCCTTGGTGTGACCTGCCCTGTTGCCACCGGAGGCCAGCCTCTGCCCTTCCGTGTTAATGAACTTGGTCACCCTTGTAACCACACCGTCATGGCCAGGGGAGGTCACTGAGGAAGGCCTGGGCTGGAGCTCCATGCTCCGTGGGGTCCTTCTGCCCTAACTCTGCTGGGGGAAGGGCGTGGACAGCCAGGTCCGTGAAAGGCTGTCTAGGCAGAGAAGGGGCATCCTGACGATGCTCAGAAGGTAGCTTCCAGAAAGCCAGAGCTCTGACGTCCTGTGACTTAAGCAGTTTGGGAGGCTTCTGAGTCCAAAGCTACACACAGTTGGAAGAGCTTCGTATCTGGAATGACTGCAGTGGCCGAGGCCTGGGCTGAGTTAAATGCGGGGAAGCACAGGAAATATGGCCCCGTTCTGCGGGGCGGGGAGGGCGCATGGAGGCCTGTTGAGTAGCCACCAGCAACAGCAACAGTGGAGTTCAGGTGTTCATCAGGCCCCAACAACAAGCTGTTTCTGGAATTACATGTTTTTTTCCCTTTTTTTAAATAGTAGCTTTGAGATACTTGTAGTTGAGGCCATTGTAGTTGAGATACATTGAACAATTCACCCGTTTAAGTGTGCGCCCAAAGGTGTTTCGTACATTCGCGGAGATGTACAGCCACCACCACAATTTGAGAACAGTTCCCATCACTCTGAGCAAGGGAAAAGTCACTTCGGGTTTTGAATGGAGGCATAACCGGCTCTCCCCGGCCCAACCCTCCCGTCCCACGGCCCTCGGCACCCACCGGTCTACTCACTGTCTGTGCACACGAGCCGATTTGGGGCATTTCATGTAAGTGGAGCTGCACAGACGGGGTCCCCCATGACAGTCCTCCCACCTGGCAGCCCGTTAGTAAAGGTCATCCTTGTGGGACTGTGTATCAGTAGGAATAAAAGTATGAATGATGCTGCTGTGAACGTTGACCTGCAAGTGTTTGTCTGGATACACATTTTCATTGTTCTTGGGAACCTCAAACAAACAATGCAGCCCGGAGCGTTTAAACACACTCTCAGCAGCTCAACGCCAGCCACTCAGCAGCCAGCCCGAGCTGGGCGGACCACTGTCCCAGGGTTTCTGCCGGCCCGGGGCCCCTGGGGCTGAGACTTCCCCAGAGCTACCCTGTGGCCTCAGGCTCATCCCAGCCAGCGTGCCCCTCCCCCCACCTGTTCCCAGGTGTCAGCTCCGGGCACACCTGAAGCCTGTCTCTCCTGCTCCTCTTTGCTCTTGTTGGACACAGGTGCGTTCCCTGACACCTCTCCCGTGCGTCCAATTCCACACCGCCATCCGCTTCCGAGGGACCTGGGCCGGCCCAGCCTCACGGAGCTGAGGTCTGGTCACAGCCTGTGAGAAGTCAGTGGGGTCAGCCCCGCAGGTCGCCTGGGGGCCAATACGCCAGGCAGAAGACAGAGCCCCCCAAAGCCCCTGTGGCAGAAAGAAGGGTTTCTGGAATGTTCCCGGAGCAGGGGGCAGCCGGCGAGGGAAGGGGAGAAAACTGAAGGAGAGGGAAGAAAGCGGTCAGGGGGGCAGATGGGGTTGGGTCCTCTGGTCTGCCGTGAGGAGCCCAGTTTCACTCTGAGCAGAAGAAAAGTCATTTCAGGTTCAAACTGAGGGAGAACGTGCCGACTTACTTTTCCGTATTTTTTACTTATATGGAGGCAGCCAGTCTTCATGAAAATGTGTTCAGAAAACATTTATTTCCCCAAGTCCCCACGAGGCTTTTGGCTCAGAAATGCACCCCCAGTCCCTGGGCTCCACCCGGGTCTCCTGGGCTTGGCTGAGACCGGAGGGGGAGGGGCGTGCAGGTGGGTCTGCCGCCTGCTCTCACAGCTGGTGGGACACGGAGCCATGGCCGCAGTTCTGGGTGCACAGCTCACCCCCCCCCCCCACAGCTTGTTCCAGGGACTCGGAGATGGGACCCCGTGTTCTCCATGCACTGGTTTTGCTGATTTAAGGAAAGAAGGCAGGAGAGTGGGCACTTAGGAGGTGAATGAAATGCAATTTCTATGCAACAGACGGCTTATAAGGGAGGCACTCTCGCCTCCGTAGTACAGAAAGCTCATTACGTGGTGTTCCATCACCACCATTTCCTTCTTGCCGTTAGGGTGGAACTGAGAATAAAAAGCACCCGGCAACTCCCTCAGACTGCAGCGGGAGGAAGTAGAGGAGGTGCTAACAGTCTGCCTGAAGTCAGCGCCTGAGTTTACGGTCATTAACGAGACGAAATGACTTTCCTTTGATTCCTCCCTGGAGTCCACCCACGTGATTAGCTAGAGAAGCAATGCAATTCCCTATATTTGCTGTAAATAAAGCATGAGAAACTTGGGTTTGGGGATGTTACATGCAGGCAGTGACGGCGGATTTCCCTCTGGAACAGGCCTCCTTCGGGCCGCGGCCGTGTGGGGTGGGGCCGCGCCGCCCTTGCTGGAACCCAGGAGACTCAGAGGTCGGAGCAGCTTCTCCGTCTCACCTTCGAGCTCCCCATCCTGACCCTCTCTGCTTCCTGCGGGCCGGGACACAGATGCGGCGGTCTGGTCTAGCCCAGGGCGGTCCTGTAGGGCTGACGGCACGGAACAATGTAAAAGGAGCTCGGGACCCCAGATTCCTCCGGGAGCAGAACCACCCCCTCCCCTCGAACCCCTGTCCACCTCCGAGCTGCTGAAAAATAAACTCTGTGTAGTTTCAGCCACTGGTTTGGGTATGGGGTTTGGGGGGCCTCTTAAATAAATAATGCTATCTTAAAATCCGCCTGCTTCAACAATCAAGTCACGTGCACATTTCACTGGTCAGGGTGTGCCCACCGCGGGCGAGCTGATGGGTGCGCATGGCACGCTGAGCAGGGGAGGGCTGGGCCGTGTGCCCGGCTGGGTCACTCTGGTGTGTCCACGGGGCCCAGTGTGGCCCGCAGGCCTTGATGGGAGAGGCTGGAGCTGCCTGGTGGAGGGAGTGGGCGGTCCTGATGTTAATGAATGCGCAGCATGTTGTGCTGGCCCGGAGTGGAGGTGACTTCCTGACTGGACAAGCAGAGGCTCCCCCCTCCCTGTTCCCTGCAGATCCGAGAGCTGCGTCCAGGCCTGGAGGCCCCAGCAGCCTGCAGCGCCGGCTGGGAGGGGTCTGCAGTCACCCGGCACCCACGGGACCCGTCTCGGTGGTGGGAGCGTGGGCCGCTGCCCTCTGGAGCCCTGATCCTCCCCTCCCTGGGACCTTCTGAGTCCCGTCCTCTGCCCCGCTCCAGCGCAGAGCAGTCGCGCAGAGAGATGCACGTAGGGGCACCGCGTGGCTGGAGAGCACGGGGCAGGACCTGGCCCGCCCACCAGAAGTCTCCACACTGAGGTCGGGGGCACGAGTAGGCCAGCGCCCAAGCGGGGGCGGAATCCCGCTGGCCCCGCAGTCATCGGGGTCATTTTCTGCAGCGTCACTGTGTTTCGTAGTTGTAAGCTGGTGGGAGGCTCACTCACACACACTCCCCTGCGTCAGTTCCTGCCGCACGGTGTCCCCGAATGCCCAGACGCAGAGTTAAAAACCGCTGTCTTCAGTTGTTGGTGTTGTTTTGAGTCACTGGTTTCATTTTACCAATTTTCCTCCATTCTAACAGACCGATCAGCAAGCTGCGGCCCGAGGGTGGAACCCAGCTCCTACCCGTGCTGGAATCAGGCCGTGTGACCAGAGCCGCACCCCGCACACCTGTCCTCTGAGGCCGCGGGGCGGCTGCCGCAGGGGTCGAAGGTCCTCGGGCCACAGCTGACCGCGGGCTCTGGGCCCGGACACCTGGAA